AAACACGAAGCAGCAAAGGTCGGACTGGTGGTGAGTGCGTCAAAAACAAAGTACATGCTAGTAGGCGGAACCGAACATGACAGGATTCGTCTAGGAAGTAATGTCACGATAGACGGGGATACTTTCGAGGTAGTGGAGGAATTCGTTTACCTTGGATCCTTACTGACGGCTGACAACAATGTGAGTCGTGAAATACGGAGGCGCATCAACAGTGGAAGTCGTGCCAACTACGGGCTCCAGAAGAAACTACGGTCAAAAAAGATTCACCCCCGCACCAAATGTACCATGTACAGAACTCTAATAAAACTGGTGGTCCTCTTTGGACACGATACATGGACTATGCTCGAGGAGGACCTGCAAGCACTCGGAGTTTTCGAGCGACGTGTGCTAAGGGTGGTGTGCAGGAGAACGGTGAGTGGCGGCGAAGAATGAACCACGAGCTCGCTGCACTCTACGGCGAACCCAGCATCCAGAAGGTGACCAAAGCCGGAAGGATGCGTTGAGCAGGGCATGTTGCAAGAATGCCGGACAACAACCCTGCCAAGTTGGTGTTCGCTACTGATCCGGTTGGCACAAGAAGGCGTGGAGCGCAGAGAGCACGATGGGCGGACCAAGTAGAGCGTGATCTAGCGAGCATTGGGCATGACCGAGGATGGAGAACGGCAGCCGCAAACCGAGTATTGTGGCGTACTATTGTTGATTATGTCTTATCTTAAATGTGATGTTGTACAAATAAATGTATGTATCTATCGTATAAAAATTACCACCTTAGTCTGTTTTTTTGATATTAGCATCTTCAACTATGTAGTTCAAATAGTTCCGGAAATATTTACAAAAAACTGATTTTTGAGGTCCTTTTACAAAAAACGCTTCATAACTTAAAATCGCAAGCAGATAGAGGCATGGCGTCTGATACAAAGTTTTTAGTTATGAAGCAGCATACAATTTGCTGAAAATTTTATATCTCTATCTGGTCAAAAAGTTAGATTTTGCTGCGCCACCTGTGGTGAAGTTTCGAACTAAAACCTAACTTCATTCAATGAGGGTTGTCATTTACAAAAAAAATCTTCTGAAGACGGGGGAAAAACCACTGTGAAAGGTGCTAATGAATAAAAGTTCTTGGATTTGGCCATTCGCACCACTGAGGGGTGGTTCAAAATATCGATTTTGCTCCACCAAGCTCAATCGATTTCAAATTAGCTGATGCAGGTGATTAGTCTACTAAAATTTGAGCCCATTGGAATGCGATCTCATACTCATACATGCCTCAGTTTGTGTGGCAATTACTATGGGAAATGTGAACGTTTTGGCCGTTCACTGCAATGATTTTCGGAAAAGTTTGCTATCTGAACTAATGTGAAATTATCATAGCTACAACTTTGCTGGAAACCGCATTTTAATTGCATGTCAGGATAATTAGTGACTAATTGATTACGAAGGAGACTTTCTTCTGACATACTACATCAACTGCGCAGCAGTCAACTTTGGTATGCTTTGCACGAAGAACAGGACAAAAAATTCAGGCTTCCATGTCACAACAATGCAGTGTTGATGCAGTGTTGCTTTGAAAATAGTTGATAAATCATATACGCTTCAAAGGACCAGTGCAGTGCAATTGGAGGTGATTGAGCTTGGTAGCTCGTTATTTTGAACCACACAATTAAATCACAGTCCTCACGAAGCTCGACGATCAGTTTCAGCTCGAAGTTTTACGATAAGAGCCCAAAGACTAGCAACTACCGATTTTGTTTTCCTTACTAAGTACCAATACTTCTGACACCAGGGAGGCTGCTCCCATACCTGGACCCTACCTATCTACCCGTCAACAATACATGGACTGAGGACCAACGGCTTCACTTCCCTTCCGAAGGAAAGCATGATCAGGAATTTTAAGCATCAGAAAATCCCGACGGTGCCTCCTGGGACTGAACCTTGGTTCTTTGGGGTGAGAGGCAATCACGCTTACCACTACACCACACACCAGTGTGATAGAATTGACATCTGGCTTTATTTAATTCTTCTTCGCAGGTTCCTCATTTGATCCTGCGGTCCCTGTGGAACATAAGCCGTGCTTAATCAATACAAATAGTTCTGATAGTAATTTTATACATATTTAAAAAATAATCCTAAACTTTGAAATCAACCAATTACTGACAGGATCAAAATCAGGATACAAATATTACCCAGCTGTCTCCACTTAAAAGATAGCAACAACCGTTGAACACTGATTGCTAACTAAGATAGCAACGACAAAGCTGTCAAAGTGACCGGATCCTGACCCCGAAATCGTTAAAGCAGAAGTACATACTGTGTTTGCATCGAGCCCATAAGGGGTTAGAGTATACATTGAGGACAGCATGACGCGTAATTGCGAGGCCTGAATACAGTGCATGTCAGGTCTCACCGCCAACGACAACTATTGGGATTCCGGTCTGGTATATTCTTTTCAACGAGTACACCTGGATATGTTTTAGATCAACATAGACGATGATGCATTATAGTAACTCCGACTTTGTGTAGGTCGACATCATTATGAGTATAACAACGACAGCTATCATTAAATGATGCAACAGAAACTTTTCATGGCATGGAATACCGGAAATCGTAATGACAGACAACGGTCCGCAGATTCACAATCCAACATTCGAGAACTTGGCGCAGAAATGGGAATTTAAGCACAGCATTTCTACGCCGTGCCATCAAAGTGGCGACGGAAGAAAAGCTGAATCAGCTGTTAATAAAGTTTAGCGGATCTACACAAAGGCCATACGAGATGGCGAGGATTTCTGGCAAGTGATTCTGCAACAAAGAAATGCTCCAAACCAGATGGGGACTAGCCTAAAACAACGACTATTGGCATGATACACTAGGAACAGCATGCGATTGAAGACATCCAATATGAGTTCCGGCATTGTAAATGGTTCCAGACCAAATAGAAAAGCACCGAGAAAGGGGGCTTCATAGAAACTTCCGGAATTGGAAGTTGGAGACAATCCGATGTTCCAAATGCGTCTGGAAGAAATGTAATTCTTACAGGAGGAAAACAGCATATCTTTAATTATGATCTAAAAAAAAATCGAGCAAACACGCAATAAAGTAATTCCACGCTAATTCTCGATGATCGTCACTCTCGCAGAAGTTGAACAATATTTTCAATAGATAATCGTATACTTGCTTAGCCAATGAGCAACGAGATCTACAGTATTTGCGAAATTGCAATTCGCAGATGCCGTTGAAAAAAAAAAGAGAACTACAATTAAAATGTCGTTAATTTGTCCCATTTGACCTAGTGACGGTTTGGGCCTTATGGCGTTTGGCTTAGTAGTGGTCGGCCGGAAAAAAATAACTCTGATTACTTTGTCTTGTTTTTCACAGAAATTCAAAGCTTGTGAGCATTGTGGATTTACTCACCGGATAAGATAAGCAATGGTCAACATATAAATTATACATGTTTTCGGGCTAGTTATACAATTGAGTTTTGGTGATATGTGATTCATTTGGATAATAACATACGGGCGAATGTCTTTCAGGTGGTTGATATTCAGACGAAAAAATATTCGGGTGAATGTTAAAGAACCGATTAAACACTGTATTTATCGTCATTTTGAAGCAATCATCGGCATCGGGAATAGCATCACCGTCGAATATAAGAACAAAAACAATGAAATTTCATAAATTCCTCCTCCACCAAGTCACATATGGAGCCACAAGCACAAAGCTTCAGATTCCGGTGGGACTATGTTCCAAACCAAACGACATGCATGCTTCTTCCGGTGGTGCTGGTGCCCACTTCCGACCCAATGAATCCTTCCGGATAACGAAGAGTATCATGTAGCTCAACAAGCGTCTCGTTCCAAAGTCGAAAGTTGGAAAATTGAAACTGTTCCCACCGCAGCTGCCACTCGTCGTGCCTCCCGTCAGCCACGATTTCCTTGAACGTGTGGGAATGTAATCGCAGCCTCCGAGAAAGACTTGGGGCCGGAGTTGTCATTGTTCCACACCCGCAGAACGTTTGTAGCGAGCAACTTAACATTCCTCCTTCGCAATTTCTGTAGAAATGCCTTCTCCAAAGCTAGTTGCTGGGGGCAACTTCTCGGGGGTGTTGTATGTTTTATCTCGTTCCGTATTTATTTGCGAGCACTCGGGAAAGAAATGTGCTTTAAATGGTTTCTTAAGTATCATTAAACAGAATTAAATGGGAATTTATTGCTGAGAGCAGTGAATTATATTTGCTTTTTTTTTCGAGTGGTGAGGATACGGGGAGCTTAGGGCGTTTTAAACCGGAAAAGGACCATGAGTATGCAACTTTGAATAGATTTAGCTGCAAATGTTGGTGAATTGTTGATGGAATTCCTTGAGGGAATGGAGTTCTGACGGCTTTTGGTCGCTCGAGAGAAAAGAGTCCAAACTTCGATTTGTTACTTATGGTGAAGAGTACTTCAACAGTGTTGTCAGATAGAGCGTGCATTTCATCCGGCTCAAACCAATACTACCAGCACTAAATCTGGGAACCTTTTCGTAGAAAGTGGATCAACTTTTGCCAACTCAGCATTGATTTCACCATTTCCGTAAAGTATCAGTTCTAGCCAGTAACAGGATACGCCAGGAATCTTGTGGTAACAGTAAAGGAGCAATGATTTGTGCTTCTTGCTGGATTGCCTTCCCGATCCCGGCTGACAGAGATGATGGAAACCAATTGTAAGGGTAGGGTAGCAGTCGTTGTTAAGCCCAGACAGGAACCATCACCGCTGAGTAATTCTATCCCATCAAGAGCATACCCAACCACATTTCAAGTGTCGGATGGGAGTAGTTTTTTGAACTTGATGGAACGAGTTTTTTGCTACGTAATCGGGGAAGCTGGAGGAATCTGGATTGATGTGTAGTGACGAGAAGTACGAAGTGAGTTAAAATTTGCACCCGAATGGTCAGAGAGCATCCGTCGTTGGGAAAATAGCGCAGTTGGGAAACTAAGAAGGAGCAAAGGGCTATTGCATACTTACGTTGTAGTTCTTCTTGGCCAGCAGAACCACAAACGTGCCTGATAATGGGCAAATGCATCTAGTGATGTTTTCCATCAAATTCTCGGTGATGCAGAGGTCGGTGCGCCACGTTGGTTCAAATGTTGCCTTCGCATCGTACCTAGGGAGAAGTGGAAAAAGACAGGTTATGAATTATGATTTAATTGGAATAAGGAAATATTTATTCGTAATTGTTTTTTTTTTATTCACTCATTACAAAAAAAAATCAAGGCAATGCGTAGCGAAGGCGTAACGAAGACGATGGTATTCTACTAAACAAAAATTGGTTTGTGACCGTTTCACATAATGGTTTGTATAGGGTATGACGTGCAGTATAATACGACATGATTAAAAGTGTTATATTGCAGCAGATGGCTCAGTTTCAGAGGTCGTGAAATCAACATTTCGGACCAAACAGTAGGTCGTATGAATAAAAGCGTTCATTTTACTTTTCCCGTAAGAAAAGCACGGGAAGTAAAGTAAACTCTTTTTATTCATACGGCACAGTGCATTTTGAATACTAATGTACACTGTTCATTACATTAATTTTTCATCAACAAAACAACACTTTTTTATACATTTCCTTTGATTTTTACTACCATTACTCCATGGCTCGGTAGGCAGGAAGTACCCGAGGGATGAATAGAACAAACTTGGTGTGTTGCCACCTGGGTAGTACTTTGAGCTGCTAGCACCTCCTTCAGGAAAATAATAGCAGTGAGTAGAGGCGATGTTCAATTGGCAAAGGACAAACAATTATGCTTTAATTCCGATTGAACTGTTTCTCCCACTTAGGTTTTGATGCCACTTTAATTTGTGTTCGACCCGAAAAATTTAATTTCATGTGGAGCACAATTCAATCTACGCGTATTTAATAATCACTGGATCTATTGCTGGCATCTATATGCTCCTCTTTTGAGCCATTCGGTAAATAAACATTTTGAAGACATTTGAAATTCTGGGAAGACATTTGTTTGTCTCTGAAATTTTAAAGACATTCCATGTTTTGTGAAAATGTTTGAAGGATACTGAAGAATACTTCCGAAGGTTTTGTTTTGTTTTAGTTTTTGAAGGCTTTTGCAATAGAAATGAAGGTTATGACTTCATATTTTAACCTCCATCTAGAGAATGTTGATTATGAAGAATGTAATTGAAATCCGTTTTTTTTCAGAATAATACTAGATCGATCTGACAATGCATAGGACATTATTGATATATTCGATCAGCTAGAGAACTGTTAAGTACTCCCTGATCATTCTAATGACTAGGGTGACTATTTGAGAGAAGTCATTTTATTTTTAAACAGTTGTAGATTGCAGAATACTATGTGAACAACCTGAAGACTAGAAAAAAATATCGAGACATCTTCGACCAGCTGGGGATCTTTCGAACATTTAACGTTTAAACTGCTGACTAGAGGGCATATCTGAGGACGTCGTTTGAATTTTTAAAAAGATGAAAATCGTCAGAATAAACTTTATTAACCTGAAGTTTTAATAAAATTTCAGAAAACAAAATCCAGAGCATATTATTTTCGATTAGCTGGATATCTGTAAAAAAAATCATGACGGGATGTTAGTAATGATACTAACAATTAATTAATATATTTTCTCTTTGGTTTTTTTGAGAAAAAAGTGTTGTAACGTTTACAAAGTCGATTACAAGGACTAGTAACGGTACAAAACTATTACGAATTAAACAAATGCAGTTTAATAAGGTTCAAAAGTTGAATGAATTAATCCAAATGGCATGAAAGAGTTCTCTTAGACTCACAAGTAAGATCCGTATTGATCCGTTTGCGCAAAATCCATTAATATTTGTTGTACGAATAAAAGATAAAGGACGAGCAGGACAGTCCAAGACAGCCACGTCATCATAGTATGCATTGATTTTCGTGTTGTTCCATTTTTTTTTTTTTTTTTTTTTATAGATTTTTTATATAGAAAATCTGGAAAAATAACTACATAGGGGAATTTACGTATTCTCGTCTATCTATGCAGCATCTGCACTTCTACTAGCATTTTCTCAGCGCCACGCACATATATGATGTGTCTGTTTGTTTACATTCATCTGCTGCTTGCTTCTCTATCCATTCCAATCGACAGAATTTTTCAAAACGTTTTGAAAGCGTTTTTACAACGCTCCAAACTTCTCAGGTGAGTGTGACTATTGTCGGCAGCCTCTTTTTCTTCGGCAACCTTCCCATTAGAACTGCGTGTTAACCAGCTGTTCTATTATCGGCAACTCGAAATCAACCCGATTTTGTAGTGCGTATGCTTTATTTGAAGAAAAATGTAGCATTACTGGATTGCTCGATCGTTCAAATATAATCAGATTGAAGCTGAAAGGCTAAACAATCGTTTGGACACATTCAGGGAAGTGCGTTGATGGGAAAACATAGTGAAATTAACGTTTAAATTTTCGTTGCCGAAAACAGTCAATGGGTGCCGAAGCCAACATTTACCCTATTGGGATTTCGTTCTGGTTTATCAGAAAACTATAAAAATCTCACGAAGAAAATAAAGAGTTCACTTGTTGTGCTGCTTTTTATCGGAGTTCAATAAGAGATAATAAGTATCCGACATTTTTGTGTCCCGTACTAACCAGGAGGCGAAAGTAGCATTTGCAATCCTAAGGAGTGAAAAATTTGTTTGGATTTTTAAAAATAAATAGACACGGCGAGATCGAAAATAAATACTGGCAACAATGATGAATTTGTTTGAAAATCGTTTAACCGATAATGCCAATAATACAGGAATGAAACTCACACAAGGTTGTCTACTCTTGCCCAGTGAATTACTTGAATTACTACAGAATTGCTGGAGCTCCATTGCATTTCCCATATTGTATCTAACGAAACTATCAGGGCAAGGTTGCACATACTCATTTCAGCTAAAATAATGTATTTCGGAATAATAAAACCAAAAGATGGTATGATGACGTGTTTTACTTGTAACTCACAAGAAGAGGTTACACAGTATGCGTTTGAAACATAAAAACCTGTAAATTTTTTATTTCTATGATTCACAATCAGCGATTTGCTGATCGCTGAGTGAGTGAGTGAGTGAGTGAGTAAGTGAGTGAGTGAGTGAGTGTGTGAGTGAGTGAGTGAGTGAGTGAGTGAGTGAGTGTGTGAAAAATCGCTGATTGTGACTCTCATGAAGTAAACTAAACAGATTTAATATGTCAAACACATTCTTTGCAACCTCTTCTTGTACCTTATCTATTCAAAATATGATCATAGCATCTAATTATTTCATAATTAAAAAAAAAACATTGTTTTAGCTGAAATGAGTATTTGCAACCTTGCTTTCAGGAAGGTTCAGCGACTTTCTAGAAAATTCTTTGAACTATAGGGAACTATAGTGAATTTTAGGAAAGTTCTGCGAATTTTCACGACGTTCCTACAAAGAATCAGAGCAACTTTCAGAGAAGTTCATTGAATTCCAGAGAAGTTCTAAAAACTTCAGAAATTTTTTAAAAACTTTAAAAATGTGCTTCGATCTTCAGAGAAGTTTTATAACCCTCAGGAAAGTTCTGCCAACTTCAGGGACGTTTTGTGAGCTTCAGAGGAGTTTAATGTCCTCATGGTAAGTCCTACGAAATTCAAGAGAGTTCTGTGAACTATAACAACATTATATGCATTTCGATGATGCTCTGCAAAAAGTTCTTTAAACGCCAGGAAATGTTTGTAGACTTTAGGATGGTCTGTGAACCACAGGAAAAATCCAATAACGTATGGAAAGTACTGTGAACTTAAAGAAATATCTGAGAATTCCAAGAAAAGGCCAAACTCAGAAACGTTCTGCGAACTTGAATATCCGGAAAGTTTGAAGAATTTCATCGAAGTTCAACGAAATCAAGGAAAAACAGGGAGTTGAATTTGAATGTAACTTCTATAAGCTATCTCATCAGGTGGTTGGTTGAACAACTCCCACTCCAAGTCTTAGAGAACAAGTATGATGGAGAGAATTTGTTGCGATATTTCTTTCTCTTTCACGCGTCCTATATGAAATGTGACCGAGGGCATGAGCAGGGTGAAAGGGCGTAAAAGTGTTACTTGCCATTTACCGGTATAAATAAATGAACAGTTTATGAAAATTGAGGTTTACAAATATCTGGGAGAAATATTTTAACAAGAAGTTCAAACTGTCGAGTTGTGCGGGTGCGTAGATATTTGTAAGAAAAATAAAAAAAAACCACATAATCAGAAAAAAAGAGGTTCCTCCTGGGAAATGTCATGCATGTAGTGAAACCGGAAACTTCAGAATCTCTCCGAATTGGCAGTGGAATGTAAAGATCACTTTGTTGATAAAAGCATTAGAGAGCTAGCAGGCAAAAAGCTAGCCGAGGTTAGTTTTTCAAACGTCGCTGGAAGATCAGGGTATGTTAAATTTTGAAACAGGCAGGAAATAAATTTAAGATTTCTCAATAAGATTTACTCAGCTTTCAGAAATGTACTAATCTGAGTGTTAATAAGGTCAGTATGTAAAAGATAGTTATCTTAATAACTTTATTTTTTACATAAATTTATACTATACTTTTGTTATATTACAGACGCTAAAATTGGCTAAACTTTCCAGCCCGGCCTCAAATCAGCTATGAGGATAGACAACGCGACCAAGAATGATCCCAATAACGCTTCAAATTGGGTGGTTGTCGCAAATGCGAGTCGGCATGCGCGATTTGGTGGTGCAGGTGCTTGATAATCGTGTAGTTTTGGAAGGATGCAATTTTGATCATCACACAATATGGACAATATGGATGCAAATAGCGGCGCCGGTGGTGTAGGGGTAAGCATTAAGCCAACATTACATCCATTACTTGCCAAAAAGGACAAAATTATCATTAATCCAGTGCATGAACTGACATTACGCTGCTTGTACTGCATTTGTTTATTGTTGTGGCCATACAAATTAAATGAGATTTTCGACATGATTAAAGTGCATCCTCTTGGATGTAATATTTAAATTTATTGCTTGCTGTTCATTTGTTTTGATCAGTTTAAGATCTTCAGAATAATACGTGATCAAACTGAAGCCTTGAAAAAAAATTAGATAACTGAACTGATATCTTCGATCATCTGGAGATCTTTAGAATTCTCCCTGATCAACTTGCCGT